ATACACTGGTTTTGTAACTCCTACTCCACGGTTAGGGGATGCTGGTCACTTATACAACTATACATTATCTATACAAACAGAAATCTGCTGCTTTGGTCCCTTTCTGCAATACTGCACAGGTGTAACAGGAGTCGTGGAGTACAGAAGGCATTTCTATTTGTCCTGCTGAAGACAGAGCAGAAACTCTGACTGCCAGGGTTGTTCCATCAGTATCACTGAATACTTACATGAAACTCAGGAGAATGTCCTGCATGGGGGTGGCATGAGGGGCAAGCACTATCTGTATGAAATACAGTTCAGTTTCTGGAAAACAGATCTTGTGTGTCAGCACAACAATGGTCCCAAGTGGATATAAGAAGGGGAAGGCTCTAGAGCACTAGGATGAGATCAGAGCAGGAAAGGGTAGGTATGAAACCTTTGTTTTTATTCTCAATGCCACGTGGCAGAGAGAGAGGACCTCCTGACATGTAGTTGTTGAACCAAAGCAGTTTTTGTAGAGCAGCTCAGAGCCAGTTCATATCCAGCACCTAACCCAGTCCATCTATTTTGGGCTGAGCTTCAGGGTCATCATCTGCCTGTAAACACAGAGTATCAGCCTCGTATTAGATAAACACTGTGGACGCACATGAGCATGTACTGGTGCATACTCATGTAGTTGGATTATAACATTCTCTCTTTTAGACTATATATAAATTGCTTGGGATGCACAGTGGGACTTTATGTTTTGTACATCAGCTAGCTTACTGATGGGGGTTAGAAAATAGCAACAGCAGTAGAATAAAATCAACTGAGTGACATTTAAAAATCATTGCAAAGGAATGTTCTCAGCGCTGCTGTCTTGTTTGTCTCAAGCTGCAGCGTCAGGGCAGAGAGGCCATATAAAGCAGCAGAGAAGGGGGGATGCTCAAGGAAGCTGTGGCTGGCTGGTCACTTTGCTGAGGTTTTTTGAGACCGACAGTAGAACCTTGAAATCTTGGTTTCTGATTTCAGTGTCAAAATATGCTGTTGACTACACTTTTTTCTCAGTCAGGAATTGCGCCACAGTTGAACTGCACAAAATACTTCTAAGTTGCAAACTGCAGCTTAGTGCATTTCCTTTGCCGCATGTCTTATTTTGAAACCTCAGAGATTCTGTGAGTGGGTTTGCAAAAGCACAATCCATTTGACCAACTCATGGAGAACTGGTATACAAGTTGGGATAATCAGCCTGATTCCTCCTATTGTTGTGCCTTGAGAGAAAATGTAATCTGCCAAAATTTTATACTCATTTTGTTTGGATATCAAAGCATGCAAAAGCAGTGGAAGAGCAGAGCCAGTAGTCCCAGTTCTTATATTGTACCTAAGTAAATCAGGACTAATTCAATTAAATTCCTGGGCCCATTTTTTTATACAAAATAAATGGTGTTATTTCTCTCTGAAGTTTCCATACCCTGCTAGGGCAGAGCAGAGGGCAATGGACTTGTTTTGGTGTAAAATTAGTAAAACCAAAGACAGGATCGGATTTGCCAACTAAAAACAGCTACAGAAAAAAAAAAACTTGGCACGTGATCCAAGGGCAAGTAATGAATGCATAGCTGCTGCAGAATGATAACGGAGTATACCCACAGAAATGATTGCAAAGTTAATCTTAAAAATCAAATAACTTGATTCTGATCCCAGTGATTTTTATTAAAATCAGCTTGAAAAGAATGTCAATGATTTGGTATTGATGTTACTTCAATTAGTGGAAAAGTGTAAGAAACAAAAGGAATAAAATACTTTTAATCTTAAAAAAGGAGAGCTTCCTGGGGTGTGGGGAAGATGTGTACATGCTTGAACCATGATAAAGCTTCCTTGTGAGGAGTAATGAGTTAGTGAACCTTTTTCAAGTACAGCACCTTTCTTTTTGAAGCTAATATTTGCCTTGTAGTAACAGAGTTTCACAGTCACTACAAAGTGCTTGTTCATTTCTATTGCTGGGTATACGCTACAGCCACAGCCAGTGCACATAAATGAATAGGTGGTTATCTTTCAGTTGTCTTTGAAAGTGTGATCTATAATGATAAATCAGCTTTGGGGCTCTGGTTGGCACAGGAGATTGACAAAAGTCTGTTAGGGCCTCTTTTCCTTGGCAATGCCATCTATAATTTAGCCTTTACCCGGTGGTGGCTGAAAACTATTCCGATTGTACCCAAACTCAGCTAGAAGTCCGGAGGTGAAATTCCACGTGACTGCAACTGGTTGGAGAATTACCATGATTTCAGATCGCCCCTTCTTTATCCAACATGTTTTCTGCAGCCCCGACATAAACTAAAGCCTCATGCAAGCATTCTAGGCAAAAGGCAAAAACATGCCCTGCGAACATGTTATAATATTGCGAATCTATCTAGAAAATAATTCTGCTGAAGCTTTCAATGTATTTCATTCAGTCTATAAATACAGATCAAATCAGAGGAACTAATCAACAGCTCGCAGGTATGATCTCATTACCTTTGCTACTGAAGGTACTGACAATAGTTAAACCACGAACCCTAGTGATCCATTCCCTAGCCTTCTGGCACAAGGGCAATTTGCTTTCTTCAAATATGATTGTTCTAAATTGGAATGCCATTGCAAAGGTGCTTGCATTTTCTCTGCTGTGGTCTTGATGGTAAATAAGATACTCGGCTCCCCTTGAAGGAGGCGAGAGTTCTCAGCATGCCAGAAAACACACAGCAACATACAGTCACAGAACAAGAGGAAATGGAACCACGTTTATATGATATTCTGACACTTCCAAGAAAATGGGAATAGACAAACTTGGATTGATCCTATAGCTTATGTTGAGAAATCCCATTTCAATATTCAGCTGAAGAGAAAAAATAATCCAGTAAAAAATGTAATGCCTAACAGATAATGTCTTTCCTATTTAACGAGCAGTCATACACATAAGTTTGCTCCATAATATTAATGCCCAGTTGGCTGAAAGTTATGAATTGCTAAAATCTGTCTTGAAATACAAGTAATCAAATGACAATATGAATATGGTCCTAGAGAGACATAGGCAACATGTAGTACATAGCTGCTTCCAGCAGTTTTGAGGTATTTGAGGGAAAAAAAGCACAAGTAATTTAGCATTTAGCTATAAAAAAGAGAGAATGTGAAAAACCCAGACCAGGACTGACTATAAAGAGAAGATGAATTCCTACAAATCTGCCATTCGGTGATAAACATCCTGTACTCTACAGCAAAGTGCTCTGAAAAACTCGTGCTGTTAAAAACCAGAAAGGTAACTCCTACCTCAACTGAGATAAAGACAGATGTGAATTTTAACTCCCCATAGTTAACATTTATATTGCTAAAGGTAGTGATTATTAGTATGTTTCAATTTAACAGTAATTTAAATAGAAATAAAATGTTTACTTTGAATACTACAGTCCTGACCAACAACCAAAATTTGTTTGTGAAGTTTAAATCTATTTTAGTTCCATAAAACAGTCCCAAGTCTGGATCTGACTATCTCTAAAAATTCAGCAAGATTAGGTTTTAGAAGCTTTCAGAAGCTTGGGTTTGGCTTATAATTGTTACTCCATAGTGCATCATTTGCTGTCTTCCTCTGAAGCAAATAAAAACATCTCCAAACTTAGCTGGTACCATCAAAATAGTCTGTGTTCTAGCCTTTGATAAGTAAGGCTTAATGTAAGTCCACTGACTGCACAGTAGTAATAATTAGTTAATTATCCAGTAAGACAATTATTAGTACTGCCTTTGAAAATGTGCCCTCTGTTTATATAGGTGATATAACATCCATTAGGATGTTGACAAAGTTACGTATCTGGCTCAAGCACTTGATATTTTCATTTCAAATCTGACGCTTTCCATTACACAACCACTTTAACAGAAGTTGCTAAGAGCGTAAGAGCTGCTGGGCTCACACAAAGAACTCATCTTCCCTCTTCTTCAGTATCCTACCCCTTACAAAGGCTCAAGTAGCAGAGACTTTAGGGGAGAAGATTAAAAAAAAGGTAGGGCAAAAGTGACTCTTCCCCTTCTGATGAGAAGGTGTAGTGACTTCGTTTTTCAAAAGAGCTATTCATGGTGACTGTAAGATCCCTTTCTTGAGTGGAATCAGCAAAGTTAGAGCTCAGTACTTTGAGTGGACGTACTGCATTTACTTACATTAGATGTAATCTGCCATTTTACTGTCAGGCACCTAGTAAAGGGAGATCTTCTGTGGCTCTGCAGTCAGTTGTAGATTTGACTATCCTGGTTGATTCTGTACCCTGTATTTTGTATGTATGTGTACTTGTTCAAAGCTTTAACAGTTACAGCTAGAAAGATTACTGTTTATATGTTAATTGTTCACAACTATTCACATGAATCAACGTATTAAGATTTGTTATGTAAATGCCTCCTTGGAAATCCTAATCTAAACTCCAGCCACTCATTTACATCTTTCCAAATGGATGCTTTTCCGTTGCCTTGTAGTACAGCCCACGTGTATGATGATGCTAGTCCTTTAAAACATAATATGGAACAAATTATGTATGTACAATATTTTCTCCACACACTTAAGCATCTGGCAGTGAACACTGTCATGAGTTACACAGTGGTACATTTACAATGACAAGAATCTACTTGCGTGCAGCATGAGAATTTGGCTCTGAGGTATTTCATTATGAACTGTGAGTTACGCTTTGACTGCTTGGTTCTGGGACGTGGTAATTGCAACCATTCACGACAGGGCTGAGTTAGATTTTCATTATTCAGTACTGGTGGCTGAAGCACAATAATAAAAAATCTTTTAACAACGCAAGTTACTATTACAGCAGTACAAGGTCAACACCTAATCTTAAACTTTTGCACTCTGTGCTTCTATAGTAGCAGTTACCTCTCAGATTCACTCAGTACTAAGGATATGCTTGAGGTATGAAGAATTCAAGGTTACGATGGCTGTGTCTAAGACAAGAAATAATTACAATTGTTACATATTTGCTAAGTTACTCTTTAAATATTCTGATTATTTTATATCTTCTCTTTAGCTCCTTGCTCAGAAGTGGCCTTTTGGAGATTCTGAATTTGGACAGTTTCTTTGCAAATTCCTTCCCTTTATACAGAAGGCATCGGTGGGAATCACAGTCCTTAATCTCTGCGCCCTTAGTGTGGACAGGTACAGTACGTTTTGTCTTTTGACACCGTTCTTGCCCTTGCAGTCTTCCTAAAACTAGAAGCACTTAGTATGGTCTTCTCAGCAGGCAGACTACAGTATAGATGTACCTTACATTCTGGTTTTTGATATCCTGACTATAACAAAGCACCACATCTGTGGCTCAAAGTATAATAGGAAGCCATTGGACTAATTAACTTTACAGGTTTTTTAAAGGTATTTAAAAGCTCTAGTAAAGCATTATTTCAATTTCCTTTACCAGACAAAAATTCATTGGGATTTGACTCAGTGTTCAGACTTCTTTCTTTCATATGACCTCATGTTTATTTTGTATTTGAACAGGATCATAAACTTTAGTCTTAAAAATCATTTTTTCAATTCACTGCCTATGGACCAGAATTACAGTGTTTATTTTGATAACATTTATAACTAATTGAGTTTTATTGAAAAACACATTGGAAACTTGCTTTGATACTTTGATGTTGATAGTTTGAAAATTAATGCCTCTCCTGAAAGTGCTCAGGAAGATACATCAAGTTTGTGATAGACTAGCTAAGATGCTTTTGAACATTATGCTTTGATGCTTTTTTTCTTTTAAGGCAATAGCAGATGAAGACTTCACTTGTGTTAAAGCTAGTTTCACTGGTCTTGAGTTTCCTTGATCGTGTTCTAGTCCAAAATATCAGTAATTCTGATACAGAAAATACTGATAAATAAAATATATTAGTACAGCTATGCAAAGCTAAAAGAAAATTCAAAATTAATCTTGGTTTGGGTTTACATAAGAAGTTGATGGTCAAGCTTTGCAATGGATGAGTAACTTAGTAGCATCCGTACCTGAAATACAGTTCCTTAGTACATTAGTAACTCCTTAGCAGAAGTCAGAAACAAAAACACAGGCAAGTGTTCCGTTTCCATGAGTCTGAGAACTATAAAAAGAATTATATTTCTCCAACAATATCTGCCCAGCATAAAATACAATCCCACGGACTGCTCTAAGGAATAAATAATAGATCAGGCACACACGAAACAGGGAGTTTCTTAGGTAAGTCCTGAACAATGCACTTTCACCAGATACAGTCCTTCTATTACAAACATTTTCATAAATTGACTCAGCTGAAGCTACCTCTTTATATATGCATATATATATATTTCTTTACAAGCACTGATTTGCTAATCCTCACAACAACCAAATGCCGTTTCCATTTGAGAATAAAGGCTTGTACAGGATCAGACTCAGACTATTTAATTTCCTCTCCCAGTTTACATGCTTTGCCAAGGACATATTCTTTATCATCTGGTGCTACCGTAGTAAATGGTTGCAGAGAATGCATGTTAGAAAACACATGTATACAGCCAGATTCTGATACTGGCTAACATGAAGTGAATCTAGGTTAAATCACCACGAAATCAGGATCTGAGAGGATCTTCAGCAAGTTAGGTTGGGCCCTGGAAGTGGCATAGTCACATTAACACAAAATTCCACATCAGCTCATGTTTGCTTTTTTAGTATGGAAAATCAGTAAATATGGAATTGTGTGCCGGCACAGCAGGACTCTTTCTGGTCTACAGGCAAGTTACTTTTTTCTTAAAAAAGCTCCTGAAAACTATCTTGTTTATAGTTATTTTGGGTGTCTATATATGGAATTACATTCTACGAGGTAGAAAAAGATAGTCAATTGGTGTAATGAATTCAGAGCTCCATAGCTTTGATAATCGTTGACTCTTGAAGACTACAGCCTTAATTTAGAACAAGATTTTTTTTTCCCCCTACAAGGGCTGTTCTCTGTGCTAACTACATCCTATTGTGAAACTCCACTCCTTACTTCTGCCCCTCGCACAAAGTGACTTGCACGGACAGTGCGTTAAGGTTTAACTGTGCCTGCCCAAGGGGAACATTGTCCACTCGCACGTGGAGAGGGTTTTAAGAGGCTGACAGAAAAGACCAAACCAGCCATTCACCCTTCAGAGGAAGCTCACACTTATTTCAGATGCCTCTCTAGGTCATGATGGTGACGGTAGTCTGACTCTTTTTCTAAACAGTGCCTGACACTGACTAAGAGGAAGGATATTTCCCTTCCTGAGCTTTTACTCTTGCTTATGTCTCAGGCATAATGATTTTGATGAAGAAATGGTTTTAAGAAGAAGAGTGGAGATATGGATCTCATTTAATATGCATACACCCTCTTCTTGCCTCCTCTGCATACCAAATTGCATAGAACAGTAATCTTGGGGTAGGTACTTTCATCTGGCCCAACTTCCACTACGTGTATTAGATAAATCAAGATTTTACCACTAAAACAAAGCTCTAAGAGCTTTATTGTATTAAGAGCTTTGCAATCAACACACTGCTGGCTATCATTAAAATGAAGAACAGCTGTGATCTCTCACAACGAAGAGGAATAGATTGGTATCAGCAACAGTAGTGTCATTTAGGAACTGTTCTGACACTAATCTTGACAGTGACTCCTTCTTACGTCCTTGATCAAGTCTCTTATCTTTTCTGTATTGCTTTTTCCTCTTATAAAGGGCTGATGATACCTGCAGAACAGGAAAATGTTGTACTAGTGGGCCATTTGAACAACTAATTTTCTAATACAGTCAAAAAGAATAGGGAAACAAAAGCACCTACTCTGTAAGACAGCAGGCGTAGGAGACTGATAGTCCAGAGACAAGCTATAGCCCTTGATTTAATTTTCATACACTCCTTGATTTCATTTCGTAAGGCCCACTATACATTTTCTTTTTTAATTCTGATTAGATACCACTATGGTAAAACTCATCCAAATTGTTCCAAAAACGAATCTAGGACACAGCAAAAACAACAACTGTGCTGCACTAATCAGACCCATACTGGAAGGTTAACCAGAGTTCTACAATTGTCCTTTACCAGAGAACGGTGAAATCACGGAGGTGGCGTAGAAAAGCATCAGAAACGATTCAGTGGCCTTACAGATCTCAATTTTTTGCTTATCAAAAATGATACTTAAGAAGCCACTTAGATATAATATCCAAGTACTGAAATACAGATGATGTATCAGATATCCATAGGGTCTTTAGCTTAGCAAAGAAAGATATAATAAGAACTTACAGAACAAGGATTTAGCCATACAAATTCCAAATGAAAACAAGGTACACATTTTTAACAATGAGAGTGATTAACTATAAGAAGAAACCACCAGGGAAAGGCGAAGCTGTCCTGCTCTTAATGTTCTCAGATCAAGAGAGGATGTCATTCTGAAAGAAATGCTTTAAGCAAGTTATAACTAGATAGGAGTGCAAAATATTTAATTGTATGTATGTATATCTGATGATTAATGATCCCTTGTCCTTAAATACTGTGCATCTCTAAATATAAGTAACAGGAGGGACTGCAGAGTCCATGAAAAGCAAGTTGAAATAAATAGCTAAGAATGGGAGAAGAGGGAGGAGAAGAAAACAGAGGAGAGAGAGCAGCTGAAGGGCACAACCTATTAAAGTTGACAAAACGTGCATGAGCAGCAGAAAATGAAAAGAGGAGAGAGAAAAGAAGCCACAACATTAAATGGCAAAAAGGAAATGACCTGGAAAAGAACTGAATATTTTAGACAAGATTGGAGACAAAAGGAAAACAGAAAAAAGTAACACAAAACACACAGACAGATTTTAGATTGAGGAATTAAATGCAACGCATGATGCATGTATTTTATGTCAGTTCCCTGGCAGACATCCTGTATTTTCTAACTATGAGGGAAACAAACCCTGCAGTATTTTCCCACTCCTAATTATGGGAGGTTTGTGGCTAGACAAAGATCCTGTATATTGCATAACTCACAGAACACCCACTGGAAAAATTATACTACCACTATATTTCACATCACTTACAGCAGTGAGTAAAGAAACCAAGTAAATGCAGGTTAATATGCATTCAGCAAATTCTGATCTAATTACTGAGCTTCGTATGCTTTAGCTGAAACCATTCATAAAATTCTTCAGCCAATAATTCCTTATCTGATAGTTATTTGAATTGTGAACTGAAAAAAAAATTGCTAATAAAGTACGTACAGGACTCAAATCCTTACTGCTGAGCGTACTGATCTTCTCATGTGCAAAACAGATGTAACTCAAACAGAACAGGTACAGACATGCAAGAAAGGAGAGAACTGGATGCACAATTTACAACCCGTTTGTTGTCACTTACGTAGTTACACAGGTGACACAACACAAACTTTACATTTCTTACTTGAAAAATATGTACAGGCTACAGGCCCCTGTTTCCTAAGAACATCATTCAGTCAAGGATGAGATAGCATTGTGTACCTTGTGCAGCTGATGGGACTGTTTGTAAAATCACCAGTCAGTAGAAAGTAAACTTTGAACTGATTGTGAAATTTCCAAAGTTCACAAATATTTGCGTGTTTGTGTGAAAGGTTATGTTTCTATGAATATTCCATTTAGTCATTAAAGCCAAAATTTGATATTTGGTAAAATGAAATATGAGAGGATCACAAATTATTTAAAATTAAATTTGAATTTTAATATGAATAAGTATGTGCGAGAAGATATGATACTGAATGTTACTTTCTCAATTATCTCAGTATAGTTTATTTGTTTCGCTGCTCTCAGAATTCCAATCTCGTAGACGTGCACCCCATGAGTGAAGCATTGCCTCCATCCTTTCTGATATTCTTTGAAGATAAGGATGCCTTTAGAAGATGTTTTTATTTTTAATCTGCAAGTCCAAAATGTAGTTTGCTTTAGTATGTTCATAAATCTTTATATATACATTTCTGTTAAAATGATGTACTGAGAACCTCTCCGCAGTACACCTGTGACTATGCCGTGCATGATATTGCCATAGATACCAAAGCAAAAGTTTTTCGTCTGTTTACTGCCAGAATGATGGCATACAAGGCTCTGACACCTTCCAGTGATGTTCTGCAGTAATGCTTTCTGAAGTTTTTGTGAGGGGCTTGCGGCCCGATCTTGCATTCATGCATCTTCCTTCCTCTAACGTCGAGGCTACAGGGGATTTCATTCGCAAGTCTTCCATCCTGTTAATAAGCACACTTCCAAATGCAAAAGGGCATGTGATGCAGGAACTCAGAAGAAATGCTCTGTGTGTGAATCCCAAATTAGTGTCTTGGTTAGAGGAGGGGTGAGGATGCCTTTTAATAACTCAAAACTTTACTGACCTCTGTAGCCTAGGTCCTGTATCCCTTAACTAATGCTTTTTCCCTTTGGAATCTCTTCATTCCTTCCGTCCCAGAAATTCAAAATTCAATACTTCCCTGTACACTCAAAGCATCCTAGCCCAGAGTTCTCAACTACTCTTAAACCCTTAAACCCTAAATTCCTTCCCATCACCTCCCTACCATCCCACCCTAAACTTTCCATAACCTAATCCTCCAACCTAAAGCTTTCGGATCTAAATTCCCCTGTTCTCTTCTTCCCTTGCCAAAGCTCACCCATCCCTGCAACTCGGCGCCTACATACTTACAAATTCTATCCTCCTGCTCTGTCGAGGGCATCTCTTTTCCCCATACCTTTCACCTTCCTTGTGCCTGCTGGTGTGCCCTTTTGTACTCCAGTTAGCTGCTGTCATCAGCTAAAATCACCACCCCGTTTGCATTTCTCTGAAAAGCTTAACCTTGGCTTGGGCCTCGGCAAGTGTTAAGAATAGAGGTGGCAGCTGCACGTATCCAAATGTATCTGCCAGGACTCAAGAGGACAGAAAATGAGGGCATGTCTGAGGAAGAAAAGAATACGTGCCATAATCAGGACGGTAAAATGGCACAGCTCCTTACAATTTATAATCTGCTTCAGTGACTTCTTATTCTGACATTTTTTAAAGCAGATGAACAACCTTTCTTGACTTTTTTTCTCCCCAACTAAAGATGACTATTTCATCATGACATATATCCGTGTAGCACTGCAATTCCAAATAGGAAGGTGCTATTATTTTGGGGAAATAAAATAAGCAGTTTAGAAACTGTCACATCGCCCATGACAGAAAGCTCTCCAGCATGCATTTCAGCTTATTACAAGATGAAAAATAATATTTGTTCTCTCCATAATTTTTAGATAGCACTGTCTTTGCTAAATTGTTGGAAATGCTAAGAGGTTTACTGCAGTTATTGCTAGACAACACTTCCGTCTGCTACTGAAAATTTTATTTATGGACTGGTTTGTACTCTGTATTGTATGCTTAGCAGTCTTCTCCAAATAATTTTTGAACCTTTTGACCAGAGTTGACAGAAAGGTTGGGGTCTCAAAGCTAATAAATTTCTACAAGATCCTTGAAAACTGACAGAGAAGTAGAGGAGAAAGACCCTCGCAGTTCCCTAACTGGGGGAAAGGCAGTAGCCTGGTAACAAGAATCCTCCGACATTGGTGGGACAGAGTAGGTAAAGAGAGGAAGAGGAAGAGGGAGAAATGCATGGGCTGTATCTGAAACTTCTTTAAGAGTTCTCACCTTTTACCAAGATTACCAAGCAGGTTTCAATAATTCCACTTTTTACAGAGAATTTTGCTATGTAAGGGATAAAGTAGCGGGAAAATATGTTAGTTCTGGCATGTACAGTCTTCTTGGCCATGCACTTCAGTTCCTCATCAGAAAGGTGATGCAGAGGCTGAGATAGCTCTCAGGCAGTCCTAACTAGCACTCAGTTGTAGTCTAAGGCAAATACATAATATGCTGCATAAAACCAGTATTTTTATCACTGAATAGTGTAAATAGAACACATGCATTTTCATTTCCTGAAGAGTATTTTCACAGTATTTCATTGCACAGAAGCTGACCACTTCAGACAGCCCCACTGTTACAGCTGAGGTAGCTGAAGCAGAAACCTGTTTTGTATCTACTAGAATGGCTTGTGAGCCTGGAAGCTTTCTTCCTTCTGTTATGTCAGGTGATCTAGCGAAAGATATAGTCTGTCCTCACAAACCTTGCCTACTTTAATTAGAAAACATCAGTGTAGTCCACATAGCAGAATTCCATGCAATCCTGTGCCTAAGCAGAACGGCTGCGGCCAGCTCTCCGCTACCCACCCCTTGATGTGCTCTGCCTTGTCCTACGTGGCTTGATAGCTGGCAGAGCCCCTGCAACAGGCAGAAAACACAAGTAGTACAAGTCTAAGATGTCAGCTTTAGGATTACATTTAATATATAAAACTGAACCAAGATCTTTGAATTTAAAGAAGAAACTGAAGGTTGGAAACTAATGCTTGTCTTTCAGGTATAGAGCAGTTGCCTCCTGGAGCCGCGTTCAAGGAATTGGAATCCCTATGATCACCGCTATTGAAATTTTCTCCATTTGGCTTCTGTCCTTCATACTGGCTATTCCAGAAGCAATTGGTTTTGCTGTGGTACCTTTCAGATACAAGGATGAAGGTTATGTTACCTGCATGCTCAATCCTACAAATAGCTTTATGTTGGTAAGTAACATCTGTTCTTCTCTTTTTGGAATCCACAGTATACAGGTTAGACAATTAAGATACTGGATTATAATACGCTTTATTCATCCATTGAAGAGCAAAATGTATTCTAAAAGAGGATCCTTCATTTATAGTGACCTGTCTCTACTTTCAGCCAGAGATACTAAATGGGACTTTGCAACATTTTCATTTCTTCACTACTGAGGATTCTTAATACAGAAATTTGCAATTCAGGCCTGCTTAAGTACAATCAAGAGATGTATCAGGGTAGCCAGAGCCTTGGAAGGTATTGTGTTTCTAGGTATAACACCTTGGACCTTGTAACTGTCAAAAAACATGTTTTACCATGTTCTGTCATCATTTTGCATGCAGTAGCCAGCTCTTTTGGCAGACAAAGAAAAGGGTGGATCCATGCTGTAACATAACTTTTCCTATTCTGTATGTACTTACAAAGTCAAACAGAGAATAATCCCTTCATTTACAAGAAATCATGACTACAAATCTGACAGACTCACATGTCCAACCTAGGTAGCTTGGGCACTGTTAGCTGTCAACTAGATACAGCAACTCAAGAGCAAGAGAAGTGCCTGAGACACACCGGGCTTTTTTTGGCACGTTTCATAGCCCTCATCCTCTGCACTACTGCAGCTTAACGCTTGCCAGTACCCACAGTAGCTTTTTCAAAGCAAGTCAGGTGAGTGGTCACTACACAATTAATAGATCTTTACTACATAGGAGGATACTGATTTTCTGCCTGGCCTTCCGCTGAGAAAATGGGAAAGTGGTATCTTGATTTTTATTTTGTGAACCCAAAAAAGGGCCAGCCGCCATTCACCCAGTAATAAAAAAAGAGTAATATTCACATTAGTCTCAGAGAAGGCAGATAGTGCAAGGTCTTAAGTCTTGAGAGAAACTCCATATTTTTTTCCAGACTAGAATTTTTCATGATAGAGTGCAAGTTTCTCTTTTTTGAATGTCTGGCATTTCTCCTTTTATTGGATCGAAACATGGCTTGGACTAGAATTGGGAAGGGTAGGGCAAAATGGAGCTAGGAAATTAAAAAAATAAAAAGTGTGGATAAATAGTGTTTTTCAGAGGAACATCCCCAGCTTTGGTAGGGTTACACAGACTGCAGGGATGGCAGAAAAAGCAAGAGACAATTGCAAGAGAAGACAAAAGGAATTCCCTAATGGAAATCAGTAATGCAGGTGAAGACAGAATGGAATTGCCCAGGAATTACTGTATCTTTGTTTCTAAACTCTACAGACTATATGACTGTAGATACTGTAGTTACAAGAATAGAAGTTATAAGAAATACAAACTGCAGCAAATTTCCCTTTTGTAATGGCTGTTTTTCTCCACAAATGTGCCGGGACAATCTTCACCTCCTTTCTCCCTAAGAAAAAGAATAGTTTTCTCTTCCCTCTTCTCAGAAACACTACACTACAGGTGTTCCATAGGCATGCTAACTTTAACGATGGTAAGCAGAATAGCTTGTTTTGTTTTATTAGCAGGAATTAGTATCTTTTACTTGCTCAGCATAATTTAAAAGCTCCAAATCTCCCCATGCGAGTTTGATTTTCAAGGAAACAAACGTGTCAGTCAAAATGGAGAGTGTTGTGTTTCAATGTGTTGCAAGCAAGTACAAACATGAGATTAAAATGGAAATATAAAATGGAAACTATAGTATTTACTACCACAAACACCACAATAAACAACTACTAAACCTTGGGAAGCATTTATGATTAACTTTTGGTTTTAATAGGAGCTTTATTCATGTTTAAAGCTATCCTTGAAAAACTTAAAAGATTCACGCTACTCCATGATTCCCAAGAGGCTGAGCGCACTAGGAAGCTTGTTTAAAATGCACATTTCCTGTAGAAAACCAGTTCCATGTGGGCTTTCAAGACAAACAAAAGAATGTCTACTTCTCTTAAATCCACCCAATTTTGTGCTTTGATGGAAGCTTTGTGAAACTCAGATTCCACAATTAATCATTTACAGACATTTTTGTGTAGGTTTTGTAACTTAACAAAGCCAGGTCCTCATAGAGAATCGATGCGTTAGTCAAGGTTGTGACACAACTGTATGTGTGTGTTTTCTTAACTGACAGGCAATGCCCACAAAAGCTGGTATACTGATATGACAGAAAGTTTTTCTTGTAAACATAGCATGGATTCATACAGTACACATCTTGTTGTGCTGCCCAACCAATATAATTCTAGTCTGACTTGGAGGAATTTGTCACGGAAAAGATGATTGTCTCCATGTATTTGTAATCCTTTTCTCTGCAGAAGGAGTGGTAACTAGATTTCCCCTCAGTACAAACTCTTCAAATATGAGGCATACTGTTTTCTGGTTTTCTGCTGGCAGAAGCTCTATTCCCAGTGGGGGAAATTCTGCCCTCAAGGAGAGTGCAAATATGCAGCGGACTGTAGCCCCTCCTCATGCAGGGATGAGGCTAATGAGGAGGAGGAGGAAACAAGCTCATCAGCACAGCTCAGACTGCCCTGTGAGCTGGGGTTGTGGCCCAGATACCAGCAGCATACTCCAAATCGGCAAGCTGTGTAAGCAGCTAACTGTGTTGGAGCAGAGGGAGAAAAAATCAAACGCATTCCCTTTTTCTTAGTAAATCAACTTTCTAGTGTAACTAAAGCAGATTTTAAAATGAACATTATTAAAGACTAGTCTATTAATTGCATCCACTTTTTTCATCTTTCAAAGTTTAGTACCCTTCAGTTTTCAATGTAAACAAGATGTCAAAAGTTTGACTTTTTCAAACAGGACTCATGTAATCCTCAGTTATTAGCATTTTGACATTTGGTGTGGGAACTGTGATGTTACAAGAGCACATCCGCTTGGAATAAACAAGCTAGGGGAAAGATGATGAGAAAGAAGGTTCCCTTTTACACACATCCATCTCCATGGCTAATAACATCGAGACAGGAAGTCTTTAAAATGTCGTATTTCAGTGCACACTTTTGGCTGAGCATAAAAGTTAAAAACCAAGATACAATATTTTCTCAAGTCTGAAAATATAATCGTCTACAGAAAAAAGTAATTTTAAATGTTTCGTCAAATGTAGTATTTCCCATGATACATAAATGTATTCATTGAAACCATAGCTTAAATCACAGCTAACACTTGAAATTACACAGCAAAGTACTCCTACTCTATCAGGTCCCTCAGTGTCCTGTCAGAAAAGGCAAATGGTATGAATGGCAGGCAAAGGGTTAAAAGTAACCGTACCACTAGAAGTCACCGTTCCTAAGCTTTGCATGTATCAGACAAACACTTACGAAGGGGCTCCTATCTGCCCAGCACATAAGCAAACCAACCACCAACCTTTCCACTGATAACCAAAGGTGATTAAACTCACAGGACATTCTGAATTTTCCTTTTTTGGAATCAGGACAGAAGCCATAGAAGTAAATGGCATTTCCTGAGACACGCTTTTAGTAAGATTTGTTATCTCAAACTGACACTGTCTACATTTTGGCAAGTCTTTTTCATGAAACTCAATTCCAGTTTTCATGAATGAGTGCAAATGTTCAGAAAACACAACCAAAAAAAATTAATTCCAACCCAAGACAGATTGCAACAAAGGCGCAGGCAGGCTATCCGTATGGTAAAAATAAATGTTTACACTGCCACAGTTCCCATTTTGGTGTTTGTCCAAAACAGATCAACAAAGAGAAAGTTTACACAATTTGTGCTGTTTACCAATAGAGAGATACCAGCGTACCAACTGTCACGCTTTCCAAGACCTTTCTGTGGTACTTTCCATTGAATCATAAGAAAATATCTTCTCTTTTCTTTACCTTATCTACAGTTTTACAAAGATGCAAAGGATTGGTGGCTGTTTGGTTTCTATTTCTGCATGCCACTGGCGTGTACTGCCATCTTTTATACGCTAATGACTTGTGAAATGTTAAACAGAAGAAACAGCAACTTGAGAATCGCTCTCAGTGAACACCTTAAGCAGGTAAATATGAGGAACACCAATGTTTGAAAATGCTGTTAGCTTAGAAATGTTTCAAAGTCTACCTGAATACAGTAAATTACAGAAATAGAAAGTGAGGATGTAGGTTATTTATGATGTTAAGGTATTCATTTAAACCAGGAACACAAGATTAAATCATAGTGTAAGGAAGTATTGAAGACAGCATGCTCAGGAAACTAGCTAGTTTCTTTCTTTTCTTAAGTGTGTCTGACAGTTGTGTTCTCCTGCTCTTTAACCTCAAATCACTACTGGCTAAATGCTTTGAAATTTAACTACAAAGATTTGCCAAAAAAATGTTTCTTTTTATTCATAAAGATATGACTCCACGGGTCCCCCCTACTTTTGGCACACTTTCATATGCAACTTTAGTTTCATAGGAAAAGCAATTGTCGAATAACCTGGTTTAGAATAGAGCGGATCTTTTTTTTCAGGGTTATTGCCCTGTTGCAGTACCGCTACTGTAGCTGCTTTGAAAAGAGCAACAGGAGAATAGTACAAATAAATGATCATAGAATAAAGTCACTGACAGAACTGTCAGATCTCACTTTGCTGTTTTTGCAGCACTGTCTGATGTTGAATTCTTAACTGAAGTTTTAAAAACAATCTGTAGCTTTTCCCCTGCGTTAACGTCAGCCCCTCAAATTCCACTCTTTCTTTTAAATTCCACATTCGCAGATGTGAATCCCTCAAGCAGTGCCCTCTGCATCGGAGCGAGTTCTCTCAGAGGTTCCTCCTCCGCTGGCTCATTCCAGATCAGGGCAGACCAGCAAATCCGCTCCTTGTGCAAATCCTCCACTTTTTCCCCATACCAGACCTCAGGGCCTGCAACACAGTCTGTCCTAGGGCCACACACAAGCTCCTCCACCCAGTCGAACCCGAATGGTATGTCCGGCGTGGGGGAATCCACCCTCCAGCTTTCCCATCCTGACCTGCAGTGCCCAGCAAGCGGCTCAGACTGGTTGCTGGAGGAAGACTCTAGACCACAACTGACAAATGCTTGTCTTTTCAACTATCATCTTTCTTCCTTCCTTCCTTCCCTACAGCCTTGCCCACATTAATGTCTAGTCACGATCTTTTTCATATTTTGATAAAAACTGCTATTCCAAGAAAGGAGAAAAAATAATAGTCATATTCAAAGCCTAACAAGACTTACTGTAATCACACATTTGACTCTTAAGTTTTTTAATGACAGAGCCTTGCAATGCTTGTTATTGTTACATTACAGTGGCAGATTCAGAAGTGGTATTCTTACCCCTTCGTATGCTGCTCTTTATCAAATCCATGCCTACCAAACACCCCTGGTATGCATTGTCAAGAATCCTCTAAAACATCTGTAAATCTCTAGAGCCATATAAAATAGCCATTAAATTGAAATTATTTCCTGACTAAGTATTACGCGATTAAACTGCAGTACAGACATTTCTAGAATTTTGTTTGTAGAGGAACTATTTACTTAAGAACATCAAGATCAAGATCACATAGCAAGGATCACATAGCAAAATTAATATACTGTGCAGTATCCCTTTATGTAACATGATGCATACTAAATAAGAAATAGTACATCAGAGAGAATTTGACATCCTGACTGGGTACATGGTTGAATAGAACTTTTATTGCCAATTGATTTAGGTGTCTTGGGTTTACCGATTGCCCCACGTTAAGGATTAGGTACAAGTGGTTTATCAAGCAGGTGTGATCCCCACTTCCCTCATACATGAAAAAGTTTTCTTGCAGATTATGCACGTTTCTGAAGAAAGAGGTTTATCTGAGGGATTGCCAGAAACACTACTCCAGTGCAGAGGAGTAAGAAGGGCTGGGAAAGTAATCAGGTTCAGGAAAGCCCAGCAGTGGATTTTCCGTGGTGTGTCCTGACAATGACCTGTGTGCTCCAGCTGCTCCAGTCTCAATCATGAGTGGGTTCTGATGAGGATGGCCAGAATCAAGAACATGACAAGCCCCACAGAAAGCAGTTCAGGGCCATCTGATAGTCTGGAAGCTGCACTTTGGGGATCCTTGCATGTTTTATCTAGATGACTGACTTTGCTGCCAACATCACTACACCACAATCACCTACTAATATGAATTAGGCACTCAGTCATAGTTATCTTCTTTTTCTAGCGTCGAGAAGTTGCAAAGACAGTCTTCTGTTTAGTCGTGATTTTTGCTCTTTGCTGGTTCCCTCTCCATTTGAGTCGAATTTTGAAGAAAATGGTATACAATGAAAGAGACCCCGGCAGATGTGAACTGCTCAGGTACTTCATTTTCTATGTCGATCAATTGTTTGGGCTGAAAAAATATAATGCCACACACTTGGAGTTTATGTGAGAAATGTCATTGTGCATGCAACTATGGTGTTAGAAGAGCAAACACTTTATGACTTTTCAGCTGTATCCATTTGCAGGGGTTTCAGTTTTAAAGGGGTAGCGTAATTTCAATAAATGCTGTCTGTCACCATTGCACTCACTTTCTTCTGGCTTTTGTGAACTTCTGTGAGACAGGTTATGATAGACCTGGCATGGCACAAGGTTAGATGGAGGGAGTTAGGTAAGAGAGAATTAGTTTCTATTACAGAAGAGATTGTAACCACAAAGAGCACCGATGCTTCTACAATATACGAACAGTTTAAATGTTTTGCTTTCTCTTTTGTTGCCTAGTTTCTTGCTGCCATTGGATTATATCAGCATCAATCTGGCAACCATGAACTCTTGTATAAACCCAATAGCTCTGTATTTTGTGAGCAAGAAGTTTAAAAACTGTTTCCAGGTAAGATCTTCGTGATCAGATTTTATGTCCAGTTAATGAACTATATTGAACCCCTTAGTTATTACCTATTTTTAGCAGTTGGGAGAAGAGGCATGCAAAGGAACGGAAGATTATAAATTGTCTAGTTTACGAGCTAGCAGCTTACATAGCACACATACCAAATTGAAAGTGGAACTATCCACTTCATCTGAAATGCTAAACCAGTAATTAAATTGGACATAGTCCTCATATGTAAACATGTAAACTGAGATACACATGCTCTTGTAAGTGCTATTTATCCGCATGTGACATGTACATGAAATAGAATTTGGTTGAGAACGTATTTCCCACCCTAGATGAAGACAAAGAACACATACATGGGACACCAAGCTGCCTGCAGTTAAGCAATTCCATTAGCAACTAAAGTTTTCAGGCTTGAATACCAAAGCAGGCACCTGAGTTGACTTTGGCAATTAAATATGCATTATGGCTTTTACCTGCATTTTTCCAGTTCCTATACATGAAAACATATTTTAATGCTAAAATAATTTCCGTGTGACACTGTGCCTTTGCAAGTCCCCGGTCACCTAATAAAGGCAATAAAGGAAGAAAGAAAATGAAAGCATATAGTGGTAAAGGAAGTAATGAAATGGAAAAGGAAGACTGAAATAGCTTTATCTGCAAAGAAAAACAGAAGACGACAGCACTGCACCACTAAACTTTAAGTCTGCGGATAGGCAAGGCAAGCTACTGAAAAAATGTAACAAATTATTAGACAGGGAATACCTGTTCCTCTGTAGCCTGCTCAGACTTCCAAAGTATTTTAAGGGAGTATTTTCACATGATAAATAAGAAGTCAGCTTTGCTTTTTACAGTCCCCTACTTCATTTGGGAACTGTGGAGGGGATAATATACCTGAACTTGTCCTCGGGTGAAAGGGAGAAGTAACAGTGGGTACTGGTACTACCAGGCTGCTTCTCATATCATTAGTTCATTCTTCCCATTTGTCCTTCCAAATAAAATTATCTTCCAACAACTCTAATTAAAGAACTCAGCTATTAGTTAATCCTTCCCAGCTTCTCGTTATAGCTTACCCTTTCCCTTCCAGTATGAAGGTCATTAATTCAGGCAATCTCTGGCAGCAATTTTGTATTTGAGTTTCTCACCCTACCTCTGTTGCTGTATCACATACTCACCCGTAGATAGTACATACATCTTAAGTCTGGCTTTACCTCTCTGCAACCCTCCCTTCTCATTGAGTTCACAGAAGTCACGGATCTTCTGCTGTTATTGCCATTGCTCCTCTGAGGCCCTAACTCTTTTCCCTAAAGTAGAGATTCCACCTACATCGAAATAGGCACTAGCTTTTTTGAAGGAAGGGGAGGATAGCTGAAGAATCCTTTCCGCTCCTTTCAGAGGAGACGACTAAACATACCAGCCTGTGAAGAACCTGGGAGTATGATCCTGAATGACCTTCTGTTCTTAACTGTGAAAAATGATACACCTCAATATATTCACTGGTCCTTTTCCTAAACAATTTTGTCATCTTCTGAGATGTCAGAAGAGACCTAAGTCACAGGCTGGGCAATTTTCTTCTTTTGTCTTACATGCTAAGGAACACGGTGATCCCTAAGTTTGAAATGCAGTGATAAAGGGGAAAAAAAAACCCAACCCAGCTTTTCCAATATGTATTGAGTTCTGTCAGTTCTCAATCTATTCACCTTAGTCAAACAGATTTCCCTTTTGATACTGTGAAAGTTTTCCTTAAATAAGAGGCACAGGCTGGGTCTAATTTGCTGCGTTTGTGATGTTTAATCACAAGAATTGTTTGCACCATAGGATAAAAAATTTGCCTGAGTGCAGCTATTGCTCCCTTCAGCTAGAATTGTCTGTTCACCTCTGAATGAAAAATATGGCTGGTAAACTGCATAGAGTTGATACATTTGTGTTAACCTTTTTTTTTTTTCCCCTTAGTCATGTCTTTGCTGTTGCTGCTCCCAATCTAAGAGTCTAGTGACTTCAGTGCCCATGAATGGAACAAGCATTCAGTGGAAAAATCAAGAACTAAACAACCACAATACAGATCGAAGCAGCCATAAAGACAGCATAAACTGAAAATTAAGGACTCTGATACCACTTCAGACTCAAATAGGAAAAAAAAAAAAAAAGTCAAAAAAAAAAGGAGGCCCAGTGACTGTTCCATAATCAGTTCAGACATGTGCACCCTTGTACCTAATTGTAGAGGTGACCAAGCAGATTGACTGACTATAACTGTGATGTTCTGTGAACTGAGATCCACTGGATGGTAATTCTGCCTCTGAAGATGATACTGATGGGATTACGACACCAAAGAACTGACTTGAACTACACAGGTGGTTTGCTCTTCTGAACCAAGCAGGAACTGCCCAGTGTCTGTGACTGGTACTACACAATCTTTTTACCTGGTTGTCACCTAGAATTAATCACTCTGGAATTTTTCAGAAGATATCAAAATGGAGTCTGTCTGTGACTATATTTTTTCTCTGCCCATCTGTCTTTTAACTTTTATTTGTGTGGTGGATATATGCCATGCACCAGTATGTTTTGCATGTTGTTGTTGTTGTTTTTCAGGTTTATGTTGGAAAATGTTTTGGTCCACCCCAGTATTTTATTTACTTATGTTACAGTGGGTCAGGACATCAGCTGGGCAGTTCACATTTGTAGCACTTCGGTACTCAAAAATAGGAAGAGACCATTTAAAGTAGCATCAACATTTGGCACTTAAGCACAGATTAATACCAAAAAAAGAGGTATTAATAATACAGTACTATACTGTGTTATTTATTCTAATGCTCTGTACAAAATAAACATAATAAACATAATCTATATCAGTAAAAAGAATGAAAGATGCCCACAGAGGGGCACCTTACAATGTGTTTTAATTAACCTGCCATGTCAATTCTTAAACTATATGAACCTATTAATCTATTTAGACTATAGCTGCGTTAAATCTAAGTCGAAATGAGGGTCAGTGGAACACTGTGAAACATTATTAAAGCCATCCAAAGAGTTCTGAGGGTATGGTTATTATCATAGCAATATCTGCACACCACTACTTCCACATTGTGAACGTGAGGTTATAGTCACCGTGAATGCAGAACTGTGGAAGTCCGTAACAGCTGGATGTGCACAAGGATATTTTGTGCCTTATGCTTACAGAGTTCTTTGTCTTACTCTCACAACGTTCAAAGATTTTAATGGGGTTTGATAGCTTATTAGCATTGTTAACCATACAAATGCTATGAATAATATATAGAAAATATTGCTTGCATACATGTAAACCGGTGATTTACTTATTATTTCCATCCATTATGGTTACCTGGCAAGAGAGTCCTTATTTGGCTATAAAAAATTTTAATAAATAGCCTTTCATTAAACAGTGGAATTAAATAATATGGTGTCATGCACAAATCTCCTAGGAAATTTATAGCATCTGTTGTGCCAGGCTAAGAAGCAGTAATTAAAATTCCACAAATTTTTAAACTTCAATTACATTTCAAGTGAAAGATATAATCCTGCATATGTTTATTTATGAGGTCAAAATGGTAGTGCCTACAGTGACTTCTGCTGCACAAGTTTCCCAAATGTTTACAGTCACACAGATCTTCTAAAGTATATTAAAAAAAAAAAAGTTCTTTAAATTGGTTTATGTATTTTTGTGTGCTTTTGTCTCTCTGACATATATGTGTGTATAAATACATACAAATGTATGTTCATATGTTATAAATACAGTCTTCTGACAGTGCTCTGTAGTAGTGCCTAAGAGCATGGTATTGAATGAGACTTGGCTGAATTTTATTCAAAATATTTCATCCTCAAACTGTATCAAAAATCATAGTAAATGAGTAACAATGCTTTCCTTTGAGAAGGCTGAATTACTGAGTCTCTTTATATCCCAACACCTTCAGTGCTCCTTTGACAGAATATATTGAGCAGATGCTTAAAGGTAAACAGAAAACAGACATGAGGAATGGATTTAAGTTATAAATTGCCCCTTCTTCATTTCAAGGCAGGAAAAAGCTTTGTGCGCATTCCCCTCTTCTGTTATTAATCTGATGGTTAGATGAACCAAAAAATTCATACTATACCAGCAAATCAATAATCTGATTGCTCAGAGACAATCTTTTCTGCCTATGTACATAAGACAGTGAGCAGTAGAGACAATCCAGGACAGAAACTTGAGGACTCTTAACTTCAAAAAAAAGCATCTACCTGCAAAAGTTTCAGACCCTGAAACAGACCATTTTTAGGCTTTACCAGCACTGATGCTAACCACAAGTCATGAAAAGCTAAGTTTTCCTTCCAGCATTAACACTTCAAACATCTATTGCTTTCAAACCAATAGTTGGCTCTGTTATGTGGCAAAGATACACGCACGTGCACACACAAAGCATGCTTTCAGCCCGTTCAGCCTAGATGGAAAAAAACATCTTCCTACTCCCCAAAGAGCTGACTGACCTTGGTGGCGGCATTATAAAATACGAAACTTTTTAACTAAAGAAAAAAAGAGGGTGAAGTATCTAACAGATGTGAGAGGTGGTTTTGAGAATGCTTTAGAATGATTTTTGGAAGCTTACTTAAGGATCAAAGCCTGCAAAAACTAATTGGTGAACCTCACTCCATCTCCTCCCGCCAGTGGAAGGACAGACAGAGCCTAAGTAACAGTGACAAGTGAGGTCTCGGGAGGTCTCGGGCTCTTTTTTGCTGTGCATGCTCTTTTGTATTTTCACTGGCGGCTGCTGCTCCCACTCACAAACCAACTGTAAGGGCAATGGCTGTTATGATGTGGCAATTATGGTGAGGAGTAAACTGTTTCTGTAAAACTTACTAAGGTACTTACTTTTTTAATTCTCTCATATTCTCACTGATAATGGTAAATATTCCTCCTAGTGTTGTATCTATCCTCACTTCCGAAAAAAGTTACCTTCTCAACAGAACCAACAAAAGTCTTCCACAATTCTGAAATTCAACTTTTTTTAATTTTAACCTTTCCTTTTCCTGCTAAGTTCTGCAAATAGGTGCTCTGGCATTTCTCTCTGCACGTCAAAGCCAGTGTGGGTTTAGCTGGGATTTTCCTCTGCTGTTGCACAGAAGCTGCTTTCTCTTTTACATCAGAACAACTCTCTACAAGTATCCTTCCATCCTCTTCTTATCTTATAGATGTTTTTATGTTTGCTGTTTGCATTCCTCTCAGCTGAACCAAGCCTAGTTTTCCTCTGCAGCTGACAGGAGTTTTCCACAAGTTTCAGATTAATTTCTTACACTTTTTGTAACATCTGTTCATCATAATCAAAATCCATTTAACTATCGCAATCATCTTTTTTGCGGACTTCACAATTCCCAACTCTTTTCAGTCCAGTCAGTGTAAAATTTCATTCACTGTTTCCTCTTACATACAGTCTCACATCTCAACTTCAAACACTTCACAGAGTTTTCTTTAATTTCAGAATCCAGTTCTTCTTGTTGTTTTCAGTATGCCTTTTTTTCAAACTACCTCACTAAATGTTTCCTCTTTGGTATATTTTGTAGTTACTTTCTTCAAAGATACAGCATACATAGATTTTCACTTATGTTTGCATTTATTTATTTACATATGAAACTCTGCTTCAGACCTGACCTAGCCAGTTCCTGTGCTTTGGAAAAAAGTGCCTACGTAGTAGTTCGTCATAAATCTCCTCCAATAGAGCTGTTAGCTTGGTTCTGTGAAAGGAGGCTTATGCAACCCTCATGTCTGAATATGTTCATTTTTGCTTTTAATACAGTCAGTTAGGTGTTTACCTGTCTGTCCCTCCATCTTTCAAAAACAACTATGAACCCCCTACCCAATTGCAATAAATTTTACAGAACAGAGTTATCATCATTATGAAGTTACAGAGAATTTCACCAAAACTGCAGGATGGGCAGAAGAACAAGAGCCTACTCGTGCTCTATGCAGAAAATTGCTAAAAGGGAGTTTGTATGTATTCAACAAATTCACATGATAGAGAGATGCTATGAACATTACAGATGCAGAAAAAGCTTTGATCAGAGCTTGCAACTTGTAAGGCATCTGAGATTCAAACCACAACACACAAATTCTTGGAAACCAGTGTTTGTAAGTTCCATTGCTTGTGGAATTACTTGCTTTTTTGCTGTTTCTTTCTCATTGTTTACATATTTACCACAATCTTGTTACTGTATCATTCGATTCTGTGAAGCCTTATGGGTTTCAGTTTGTGAGAAGACATGGTACAAATTCAAATTCTGCTGCATTTGTATGAACAGATTTCTGCTCAAGTGTCCCTGAGGCAAGGCATGCATTTTCATTAGAAGAAACAGACTCAGCCTGCATGCTAACATTGTCTTGCAAAATTTCTCCCAGACAATCAGTTGTGCAAAGCTCGGCTCAGCAAAGTATTCCTAAAGTACACTCCTCACCCTTTCAAAGACTAAATAAAGTCCATTATCTCCAAAATCAGAGTAAGAGAAGACACATTAAAAGTTTACAGAACAGAAACAATTCTCAAGTTGCATAGGCAAAAAAACCCAACCCAAACCAGGCATGTTTAAAATATGGCTCTAAAAGAAACACAGCTTATCATTAGTCCAAGTGTGGGAAAGGAAGATACAAACTAAATAAAAAAATGTAGGTCATCTCCAGTTTCTCTAAAGGAAGATGAAATTAATTGACCTCTAGTATCTCATCTAGAATCTGCTTCTCCCCTGTACAGATACTACTGCTTCTGAAATGAACTGTTGCTTGAGTCAGTTTTGCAGTCTCATTAGTTACAGTAGCTTATTATTACAATAAAGCTCAAGATAATAAGTGGTATTGCCTCTGAATAAACTATACATTTGGATTGGCTTTCTTTCAATTATCTATGCTGTATTAATAAAGCATCCATCTCCAGATACATGGTATATTCCAATACAAAAGCATAACTAAACCACACTATCGGAGAAGTCACAAATTTTTAGGGTCAAGTTGTAAACAGAAAATTAACATAGTACTCTTGGGACAAATGAATACTACAGTTCAGTACTACTAGTGGAAAATCTATTGATATTTTTACATAAAAAAAAGAAACTATATCACT